TTCCCAAACCATCCATACAACATATCACCTTGAACCACCCTGTTCTGAAGTTAGGGAGAGAATACTGTATATATGGAAATTTCCGTTCAGTTTAGAAGTGGGGATCCTTCCAGGGCAGGAAAATGAGATTACCATAAGGTTTTGTAATCTTCTTGAATACCTCTTGCAGAACCACTTGTGAAATTACCATGAGATTATAAATTGCTTAAGATAACTGTGTCTGATAAGCCAATTATGCCCTCTGCTTATAGGACTGTCCTCTTTTCCCCCTACTTTCGGTGTATTTTTTGTAAGATATTTGTGATTTGAAACTGTATTGTATGAAACATCATTTCAGTCTCTCATTTTGTAACCTTCATTCTCAAATATTCTTGTCCATTAGTCACCCTGGAAGAGCTGTACCTGAGATGCCTTAGTTCAGTGTTTCTCAACCTTGACAATTTTAAGGCATGTGGACTTCAACTCCCAGAATTCCACAGCCAGCATTGCTGGCTGTGGAATTCTGGGAGTTGAAGTCCACATGCCTTAAAATTGTCAAGGTTGAGAAACACTGCCTTAGTTCGTTCAAAGGATGTTTGTGAAACACCTCCTTGTGAAACAGAAGAATAAAGGTACTACATCAGGAGCACCAGTTCCCAAGTTTTGTTCTTGATCTCATTACAAGGACTACTTAGATGTGCACTCTGACTCCCACAGTAACCCATAATTTGTGTAGGAGCCATGTTGTTTGGGTGTACCATGACATACCATCATGTTCTGGACTAGCTGAAGCTACTGAGTGATCTTCAGAGATAGTCCCATGTACAGCATAATAGTAGTCCAGATGTGAAATGATCAAGCCATGTATGACCATGAAAAGGGACGTCTGGTACAGGAATGAGGGCAATTTTCATAGACAAGAAAAGTCTATGTGAAGGCCTTCCTTGACCTGCCGCCTGCTCTTTGAGCAGAAGCTGAGAGTCGAAAAACACTCCCAAACTGGAGAAGTGCATATACATTAAAAATGGGGAAGTGCCTGGGCCAGAAGGTCCATAGCTAATTGGTTTTGCTAACTTAAATCTGTTTTCTCCCCCACCCTTGACCTGAACTGTCTCCAACCATTTGGACAAGAACTTGATAGCATCACTTGTTGACCAGAGCCAAAATATACGACTACCATCATCATTTGAAGAAGTTGATATTTGATTCCACATCAACAGATTATCTCACCCAATGATGCATGTAGCTCATAGGTCCCTAGCTTTTGGGCACAAAAGACCGGTTCCGTGGAGAGAGATTTTTCCACAGACCGGAGGGGGCATGGTTTCATGTGCTGCCTGAATCCTGTGGATGGGGCTTTGCTTGTTTGTGTGGACCAGTTTCTGACATACTGCGGCCCGGTGCCGGTCCGTGGACCGGGGTTTGGGGATCCCTGATGTAGATGTTAAGCAGTAGGGATGAAAGTATTGACTTCTGTGGCATCCTGTAAATCTGGGGCTTTGGGCTCAACTCTCCCCTTTTGTTAAAACCGACCACAGAGAAATGAGAACTACTACAACACTATGTCCTCTACTCCCAATCCTCCCCCACCCCCAAGCATAACATAACTGATAGCACTGAAAATTGCAAGTAACTTCCATCCTAGCTCCACCAAGGGTCAAACAGAAATGTGATTAATGTGTCTTAGTGCTACTTTTTAAGTGCCTTGAACGAAACCCAAATGAAGTCTCCAGATGCCCTCTAAAGCTGTAACTTGACAAACTTCTCAACAATCTTTATTACTAGCAATATAGTTGAAGGCTAGAGGATAATTCTCCAGGACTATTCAGTTCACAAAATGATCTTGAAGAGGGAACACATCACCAGGTAGGTAGAAGCTCCCCTCTCAGAGGAAATCATTATCACCAATTCTGGAACAAAGTTGAGTTTGGGCAGAAATGCTGCACAGGCAATACTGCACCCCAGTAAAAAAAAAAAAAAAAAAAGCAAGCCAACTGTTCTTTAGAACCTATGAGCTCCCTGTGATGCAATACCTTTCAAGCTGTTAGGGCTTGCCAAATGACAACTGCTGCCCACCCTCCCACCCCAGGGTGGAGCTGGTACCAGAGCTGAAACCCAGGCAGGCATCTTTCAGGAAGAGGAACCCATCCTCATTTACAAATATCAAGTTGCAGGCCTCATCCACAGTGGTTGGCATTTAGTGGCAATATCCAGAGCTCAAAACTATTGATGATCCAGAGATCTAATATTGGGTGTTGAAAGGAGGAAACAGTATTAAATACATTACATTCTCCATAAGTAACCTGCCCTTAGCTTCCCATCGCATCGCTCTCTGGTCATCATCACATTGCTCTCTCCCACCTCCATCTCAATACCTTTCCCTCCTAGGCCCACCTTCCCAATCTTACATTCCACTCTTTTAACCACGCCCTAGAGCAGTGATGGCGAACCTTTTAGAGACCGAGCGCCCAAACTGCAACCCAAAACCCACTTATTTATTGCTGGGTGCCAGGTGGGCGTGACCCACTGGGTGGGTGTGGGGGTCATGGCAGACTGGGTGGGTATGTCCAAGGTGGGCATGGTCACCTCGATGTTGCTCGTGGGGAGGGACACCTGTGTCATGGCTCCGTCGGAGCCTGACTCCGAGGAAGACATGGAGTTCCCTGTTGAGGCCCGGGAGGGGGTGTCTGTGGCTTCGGAGGACTGTAGGGAGGATCAGGCTGAGGCAGGCCAGGGCCCTTCAGGTTTGGAACAGGGAAGGCAGAGTTCAGGCAAGGAGCAAGGCCCTCCCCACCTGATCCTAGAGCAAGGAGAGCAGAGAGGAGGAGAGAACAACGGAGGCAGGCTCACTTGCTCGGGAGGAGAGCGTCCTGCCCCACTCCACAAGGCACACCTGGGGATTAGGATTTAAGGAGATGCTGTGGGGTGGGGCATTTGCCTGGAACAAACGTGGAATCTTGAGATAGTGTGATTTGTGCTCTTGTAACCTGGACACTTTGTATTCTGGACCAGTTTGTTTCCTGCTGCACGACCACAGACTATATTCTTGATCTCTCCTTGCAGTCTGCAGTTTGCAGTTCACAGGCAAGCTGAGAGTTAAAAGGACTTTTTATGTTTTCTTGTTATCTGTCTTGCCTTGAGAACAGTGTAAACTTCCCTGACTGTTTTGTTTGAACTCGTGCCAGCATATGTGGGGGCTTTTGGGTGAACATTGGCAGTGATTAAAAAGACTATTGCTCTTGCCAGCTGATTGCCACACCTGTGGGGGCCAGGCAGGGTTGGGGGATACCCAGTGGGTCTCTGGCAGGTGGGGCGATGAGCAGGAGGCTCGTCCTGTGGGGTGAGGCAAGGCAAGGCGAGGCAGAGCAGGGGTGCCATTACCGCAGGGCAAGGCGGGGCAGGGGCCAGGGTGACTGCTGCCTGACACCATCGGCCCCGCACACAGAGGCCAGCGAGCGCATGGGGGCCAACGGTGTTTGTCAGCAGCCACAGCCTGCTGGCCCCTCGATCGGTGCACTCTGGGGCTCCACAACCCACCGCCAGCAGTTCAGAGAAGCATAGATGCAGTGGATCATGCCCAGGAAAAGGAGAGCATGCAAGGCAAGGAGGGATGGGACAGGGGGGAGGGAAACCAGCCATGCTGGGATGCATCCGGCCATGTGGGACCTGAGCGAGTTAGCAGGCGGCTGGTTGAAGAGGGACGGTTGCCATCTCCGGGGCATGGCGTGCGTGCCCACAGAGAGGGCTCTGAGTGCCGCCTCTGGCACGCATGCCATAGGTTCGCCACCACTGCCCTAGAGCAAAACCACAGCATTCTCAATGCTACTTCTACTTTTGCCTATTCATTGATGCCTGGCTATCTTGAGTTACGTAATCACATATTTTACATCTTCAAACAATCCCACTTCCCTCCATTATCCCTGAGCCATTGGAGCGAGCTGCTGACGCAATTCCAGTTCTACCTTGCAATGCCCATCCCCTAGTACAGTAGGCTAATCTCCAGATCTAGCAATTATTCAGACAGTCCAACAGGTAATCTCATCTGCTGACAAATATATGTGCATAAATCTTCTGGAATGATTTTATTTGGCAGAGACATATGTGCAGGCAGATTTATGTCTGGATAGCCACAGGGTTTAAACCAATTATATATCTATTTTTTGCTTGACCTCTTTTCTGTTGCCCGGGCTCCTCACTGACTTATCTCAGATCATTGTTCCCTATTGGAGTGCTGCTGCCCCCATGGGAACACCAACACTCATAAGTACAGCTACTTACAATTTCTGGAGTTATGAAAATTTAAAAACCAAGCGTGGCTGCCCCCTATGTCTTTCCTCTCACTAACCCAGTATCTTGGTTTATCACTTTCCACTTGTTTTGATCCCTGGGCAGACGGACACACTTGCAGAACAGAGCATGAGGCTACAGTCAAGCAGCCATTTTTATTTCTACAAATGTCTAGGGGGTTGGTAAGGTTTGATGACTTTCTTGAAAATCAGTGGAAAGCTAGTTTTCCACTTTTTTTATTATCTTAAAAATAACTTTGAAAAAAAACCCAAGTCAGGTGGCATAAAGAACTTGGGTGGCATTGAGGGAAAATACCTTGGAAGTTCCTGGATGCTTTTGGAGACCATATAAAGGAATAGATTGCCTATTCTGCTAAACTTAGACAAGACCATTCCTTTGCCTTAATCATTGGTGTCACAATTAGTGGTTCTTTTTGGTTACTGAATAGCAGAAGAATCAGTTCCTTTCCTATCAAGATCTTCTACAAAAATAACCTTCACTGAAATTCCATAATGCAGCATTTATTGTACCAGCTCCCCCCCCCAAAAAAAAATTAGAATGATCACCAATCCCTACAGCATACACTTGTATCGATGTGATGCTTTGTTTTATAAGAAGTAAAGAGAAGCCACCCTATTTATTTTAATAGAGAGATGACTTGATGCTCTGCTCAGAGCACTTCTATAGCCAATACTATCCATTCAGAGTCACATAAGCAAAACACCAAACTCTAGTCGGGTTCATCTGGATTTATTGATAGAAAAATGAACTGTGATTTGTCCTGGTTGTGTGAAGGAAGGCGACACTTATTTCTTCAGCCTTGCTGCTTCCCTTGGGCCACAATTTCTCACCTCCAGTCACCCATGCAGCAGCCCAGACTATTCAACAACATTGGAAATAAATCACAAATTTCAGCTGGCTTCACTTCTTGAGACTTCACAGAAGGAACAGCCAGTCCCGTACCTCCATGAATCTTTGTTACAAAGGAAGCATTTTTAATGCAGTTCACATACTCCTGTGTCTAAGGCCCTTTAGTATGTGAAACAACGTGGCTAGGAAGATCAGCCTACAATAGCTTTTCTCCCAACCCTCCACCACATTTCTTTGCTGATTCAGTACACACAGGATGTGTCCTAACTTTCTGCTCCAGAATGAAGATAAGTCAAGGGACAGCCTGTACGCTGAAGCAGATTTGCTCGCAACTCAAACATTCAGACCTAAAGAAAAATAAACTGCTGGGAGGAGGTCAACACAGCACAAGGAAAGAGTGTCCTCTCCTCTGACGTTTCAAGGCACACAGGTGAGACATAGAAACATGAGATTCTTTCAATTTATGAGGGCTTTAGAAACTGAAGGGCACCAGTTTTAGCTCTCCAACTTGATTCACACTTGAGGTGAACCGGTGGGAATTTTTTGTATGGGGCTCCTCTCTTTCATTCTCTTTTGTGCATGTCTTTAATCATTTTGAAGCCAAGATTTGGGCACCGATGCTGAGGCCAATAGTTTGAAAAAAGGAGGAAGCCTGGAACCTGAAGAAATGCCACTGTCTCCATTTGAGGCAGCCTACAGAAGCCATTAAAGTGCGGGAGGAAATGTCGCAGTGGTTTGCCCTAGAAGCAATAGCTCTAAAGGAGACAATTCACAGCTCTGAGTGGTGCTCACCTTGGGCTTACCAATGTCTTATGCACATTCAACTGAGATTCTAACAACAAAACACATTGGTCCTCCTGATGCACATGAGGGAAACGGTGCCTGCCAAATCCTGCAAAGGAACTTCCACGAATGCCAGAGTTCTGAAGATTGGCAAAAGATCAGAAGTCTAAGTCATCTGATTCAGTCCCACCACTGCTAGGGAGCTCTTCCTGGTTGCGCCCCCACACAAAACGATAGTTGTCTTCCAGTTGGCGTTGCCGTCGTTGTTCTTTATGTGCTTCCTCTGTGCCCTGGATCTAAGAAACAAATACCAAAGCAATCAAACAGACAGACAGACCCACCGTATAAGGCAGTGATGGCGAACCTTTTAGAGACCGAGTGCCCAAACTGCAACCCAAAACCCACTTATCGTCGGGTGCCGGGTGGGTGTGGCCATTGGGTGTGGCCCATTGGGTGGGCGTGGCTGCGGTGGTAACGGCAGACTGGGTGGGACTAAAAAGTTCAATCAATCAATTCCAACTTTGCAAGATCTTTTTTTTCCTGCAAGAAGTTGAAATTGACTGATTGATTGAACCTTTTTTTTTTTTTTTTGCACACGGCGGCGGAGGCCGAAAGTGGAAAGGTTTTATAAAACCCAGCTGAAGGCCTAGGACTGGGGCGACGGCGCGCGTGCCCACAGAGAGGGCTCTGAGTGCCGCCTCTGGCATCCGTGCCATAGGTTCGCCACCACTGGTATAAGGCAAAACGGAAGCTAACTTTTGGGCAAAGCTCTCTGCTGCTCTAAGAGGAAAAACCTAAAGGCATGGGGCTCTTTCCCTTTCTTCTTCAAAGGGGCTGAGAAATGCTGCCAGTATTTCACTGGGATTAATTTATAGTAACATACTGAAATGCACGGGAACACTCCAATTCCATTTTAAAATCTGATCTGGTTTTTCACCGTTGCCACCTTCAAGAGTGTTCCAGAATTCACCAACTGGTTCTTCTCTGACAACAAGCAAGAAGTGGGATGCAACATTACACAAAAAGAATCCTTCTCAAATGATGAGATCTCTCCCTTTCTTGCTTGCTGTCCTACCCTTGCCCCCTCAAACTTGGAGGGCTTTCTTGAGAAACTCCTGGTCAGAGTTGTGCTTCACTGCCACAACGCACACAAAATGCTGCTCTCCCAATAAAATCACTAGAGCCAGCCTCCTAGCTTTTTATGCTCTAAGCAACATTCCCCCCCCCCCATTATATCAGCGCTGATGTCAGCCCTTACCAAAATATTGAAGAAAATGTCTTTGAGGTTCTTGGTGTCTTCTTCTGAGAGCCAATGGGTGTCATCGTCATCTCCAAAACCACCAGTTGTCACAATCTTGATTTCAATTTTGCCTGCCAATCATAGGGAATCAAACATTAATGACAGCCCCAAGAGCCTTGCAATAATCGCCTTTAATGTATTGCCCTCTTGCTATTAGGAAAAACAGGGCAGCTCCTAAATAAGAGAAGCAATATCATAGCAAAAGATAAAGCTACTAGAACAGGGCTTTTCAACCAGTGGTACGGGTACCACCTGTGGTACATTGGCACCTGGCAGGTGGTATGCAACCATCTTAGAAAAGTGGTAGCGGGGGAGGGGAATGAGCTGAACGGGTGGCAGCACCGCACAAGCCTGAGAGAGAGAGATGGCTGGAGCTGCAGGGCTGTCAGAGCTCAGCGGAAGCGCCAGGATCAGTGCCGCTTTCCAGCTGATCGGTGTTTCTTTGGGGCTGTCAGGGGTCAGTGGAAGCGCCAGGATCAGCACCAGGCTCCAGCTGGAGCTCAGCGCTGATCCTGGCGCTTCCACTGAGCCCAGAAGAAGCGCCAATCAGGGTCTTGTGATTTACATTCAGATGCTTGGCAACTGATTCATATTTATGACAGTCACAGTGTCCCAGGGTCATGTGAAGTGACCAAAACCTGCTGCAACCACCCAGCAGACGGGGGGAATAAAAACCAAACACCACCCCACCCCACCCCCGCTGCCAAACCAGCCAGGCAGGCAGGTGTCTTGCTCAGCTGTGGCTTGGGGGGCGCTTTTTTCAGTGCCATTGTAACTTCCAACAGTCACTAAGCGAACTGTTGTAAGTCAAGGACTACCTGTACTTCATCACTTTTTTCCTTTTTTTTTTGATCATCAAGTTTTTGACACCTTGCTAGGCGACTGGTGGTACTCGGATATTGCCATATCCTAAAAGTGGTACAATGGGTGAAAAGGTTGAAAAGCCCTGTACTAGAAGACTAACCTGGCTCCAGCCTCAGGCCCAAACCCAATGTCATCTTAAATTTGTGACTGTCATTGACCTGTAACTCTTCCCTGCTTCTCTCACTATAATCTGTCAGCAGAGGAAATGTCGCATGATACTACTGCCAACAAGCTGATTGGAGGCAAGCAAATACTGAGCACACTGAAATGTTATTTGCTAGAAATAAGAAATGAGTTGGCACATCCTGGATGCTTATGCTTACACTGACCTTAGAGCACCAAGCACCTATGAAAAAAAAAAACCAGTTCAGGGAAAGTGAGGTTGGGTTAACCAGGTCTTCAAGAGCTATATAATAAAGAGTTTGGAAGGGAGGGAGGGATTGGCAGGGTCACAGGAAGGCTAATCCAAAATCATTAAGCGTGTTATTCAAAGAACAAAATCCTGCCATTTGCTCAATCTATATTCTTTGTTAGGTCAATAAAGCAACCAAACATTTTAAAGCTACAGTCTCAGGTAATAAATTGGTAGGAAGCGACAATGCTTAGAATAATAAAAAAAGCACTTAAAGTAACAAAAAAAAAGCATGCATCCTAGGCAAACGGATTCTTGGAAAACTGTGAAAAACCTGTTATTTCTCCACAGAGAAATAATTTGATTTATTAATGAGCAGACTCCACAAAGCAAACAGTTGTTGTAACACTAGATTGTGACGAATATTTTCAGGGGACGAAAAGCAATTACTTCATGATCCAGAAAACTACTTTATTGGCAGCCTGAGGCTCCCGAGTTCCTTCTTTGTGGTTCCTGGAAACCAGCTAACTCTGCTAAATCTCAATGCTTAATTTCTCACTATTTTAACCCTGAATTACCTATATGCATGGCATAGGCTCTTCCCCATTTTACATCCTTGTCCTTCTGCTGTAGCCCTCCATCTCACCCTGTAAGTAAATTACTAGCACCAAAAGGTTATCCATCTCAGTCTATATCAGGGCTTCCCAAATTTGTGAGGTGTCCCCTCTCTCTTGGAGAGGTGCAGACAGAGTCCAGAGCAGATGTAAATAACCTTTTAGTTGTATATTGTTCCAATAAATCCACCTTTCCCACCTCTTATTGTTCATTTATCTTCATTTGGTTGTTTGGATTTTTAGGGGAGGTATGTACATTAAAATTATAATAAAGGGAGGTGTGATGCAAAATGTTTAGGAATCTTTGGTATACATCATGCAAAATGTATAGTCAATATTATATGATTTAGTTTACTAAAGTATAAATATATAAGACTGGGGATATATGTAAGCTCTCTACACTCCCTATTCCCTCCCTGTTTTCAATTATTTTTGACAAAACCTGCCTCTATCCAGCATTACGAAATCCTGCCACTGGAAGAAAGCATCATCATTATTCTTCAAAGATCTTTTTATTTCCTTTACAAAATTAAGCTTGCGTTTGTGTGTATGTGATGTGTCGGAAATATATATATATATGTACATACACTGTACATACAAATGTACATGTTTGTGTGTTTATGTATATACATTGTTTGATAAATAGTTCACTGAAATTACTCTTCAATAAGTTTATATTTTAGAAAAAAGATGAATATTATATTTTGACTTTAGAAAATTATTTTCAGTATACATCTGTTTAAGACAAAATACTTAAATGGGCAAATTTATTAAAAAAAAAAACCAATACCAAAAAGGTCACAGATGGCAAATTCTTGGAGCTTTGGGAATGGTGGTTTATTTTATCTTCTCCTTTCTCTTAAGACTTACAGAGGTTTATCTGCACCTCAAAGAGCTAATCAAACAAAACTCTCCACCATTAATGATACAGCTTTGGAAAATAGTACCTGGTCATTAACCATATTCTAAAAAGAGTAAACTAAGGTACATGTGGCACTTTCTGCCTATAGGATTTATGTCCTTTGGATTCATTTTAAAGTTTCATTTAAAGGGTAATATCTTACACTATTCATTTCATTATTTCCTGCCTGGTAATTAGCAGGACTCAATATACCTCGCATGTTCTTTTTTTCTCTTTAAAGAAGGACTGACATAAATGATAAATTGCATATCTTGAGTGTTCATAGGTACTGAGTGTGTACAGATAATACCATCTGTGCCCTTTTAATATTTTTAATGAGATGCTCTCACTGGCAGTTCTGTTCTACAGTCAACTTCCAAGCAGAGGCCTTTTCTAGCACTGGTACTTACAATCATGGGATCTGAAAGGCAAGGATACAACTTGGGATTGTTTGTACATGGGAAGAAAGATAATAAGAGGAGCTAAAAATGCTTGTTCTACCAGTCAATAAAAGTCTCTCCCAATTAGCCTCATTACAGAAAAAAACATGGGCATTTTTGGCCTGAAAAACTTTCCTAGAAAATCAATCAATCAATCAACATAATGAAGTAACCAGCTTAGCATTCAGATGTCCATGAAATTGCGCAGCTTGCAATTCCGGACCCCTGGCAACCTCGTGCCCTTGACCACTCTGTCCTAGAAAAGCCCCTGACAAATCAGATAACCTCCACCCCCAGCCTAAACACGGACTTCTATTATGACCCTCCACCCCACCCCAGGGAGCATGACTGCATTACCTTCTGCCTTCAGGCCTTCCTTCTCCAAGAGGTCCTTAACCACACTCTCTATGTGGCGCAGCTGTGGGTTGTCCCTGCTCATCTCTTGGACTCGCAACTCCTTCTGCTGAGTACCACCTGGCTTTACTTTAGTGACCCTGACATTCACGCGCCCATCTGGGTCGCCATCTGAGGTAAAAAGGGGGACAGAGGCATGTCAGTCTGCCAGCATTTCTGACAGGGAAGTAAAGTGCAAAACTGCCAGGTGCCCACTAAGCAAGGCTGTGTACAGTCCGCCCATAAAATAATGATATTCTAGCCACCCAGTAGCTCCAGTAGACTCTGGGCAGCTTACAAAATACAAATGCAATGAATGGTATGAAGCTCCCACGTGCCAATTTAGTTACACCTGAATAAAGTATTATTATTGTTGTTTACATAATGCGTTTGAGCAGAAGACTGAGGCCTTCAAAGCATTTCAACACTTTTGCAAAAGCAGAAGGTTTCTAGACAGCAGAGGAAAAGGAAGGCAAGAAGTCCCAGGAGGCTGGCAAGCTGACCAAGACAATACCACTTCTGACCATTAAAACTGAATGCAATTCCCTAGTAATATATTATTCAGAGCTCATAAACCTCTTAGTTCTAATGCCTGCCCAAGAATATGAAAATCTGTCTTGGCTCTTAAAACACTAGAAAGACTGCAGACTCTACCAGATAGGCTGCATTGAGCTGATAGTTCAGAAGTCATACAGATCTTAATAACAGAGTTGAGAAGCCAGGGATTCTAGACAAATGCCAAGTCAGCAGCGTTGCTGAATTGCAAAACCCAGCTTAAGAACCAAAAATACATTCTTGCCCTCAAGGTCTGTAGATGTCTACATTATAGAATATTAAAAAGAAAAGAAAAAGAAAAGAAAATAGGAACATTGACCTGGGTGACCCAAACTTCATTGAGCTGCTTTGTCCCTGATTAGAAGGAACAAAATGCTGGAGAAAGAAAGCCAAAATAGAAGCATTTATGCATAGCCAAGCCAAAATCAAGCTCAAGAGCAGTTCTTGAAAAAGACAAATATAGAGAACATTTACCATGAACAAAGGTCAAAATAATTTTAAAGCAAAGAATTATTCCTCTTGGAACGGAAAAGAAGCAAGCCATTAACAGTGTTTTAAAGAAAGCAATTTCTGAGGGAGCTGATACAATACTTCATTGGGAATTGCATGCTCTCATCCATATGAATCTTGGTTCCCACAACTATCATGCTGTCCCTTACTCAAATCTAGACTAATGTTTAAGAAATAATAAACCCATCTTAATACAAACAAAATGGGCAACATCAAACATATTGATATAGACACAGATCTTCTCCTGTGCTGGATGAAACAACTAGATCTTAATTGCTCTCCTGAAATTCAGGAAGGAAGGATGCAGATCTTCCATGGGAAGGGTCTATGGGGGTGGCAAGTGAAAATACTTGCTTCCAAGGCCCCATCAAATGACCATCTCCTACAGAGAGGACATGGAGGGAATGGACCTGTATTCAATCTGACTGGACAGGCAGATGAATTTGTGGAAAAATATTCCCTCAGAGAATTGGGTCTGGAGCCACGTAGGGACTTAAAAATAGTAAGTGGATCATCTCCAGAAGCCAAGTGATAACCAACACAACTCCTGAAACATTGGGGCATCGGGATACACTCATCATTGTGCAAGCCACTGCATTTTGTACCTGGTGTGGTTTCTGAATGCTTTCTGAAGGCAGCCCCATTTAAAATGCATTACAATAATCCACACAGGAGATGATTACAGAATGATTGATTTTGAGCAAATCTTCCAAATGGTCACAACTGGCACAAATATTGTAGCTATAGAAGCCCGCCTAGCTGCAGCTAAGAACCATCTCTGAATGAGGGCATACTATTTATATATAATATAAATATTTATAATGTATATATATATATACTGCATATATAATTAATACCCCAAGAAGGACAAGATTTGACTTTAACAAGAAATTGTAGATCAATATTGTTACTTAGTGTTTCAAGAAAGAAAAAAGGAGGATTGGGCTTAGCTGATTTGAAATTATATTTGGCAGCCTGCTGTTTAGTCAGGATGAAAGAATGGGTGTACTAACAAACAGGAGGCCTTTAGAGTTAGTAGGGCATGATTTAACATTTGGGTGGCATGGATATTTATGGTATGGTAAAGCTAAGGTTAATGTAGATTAAAAAAAACATTTTGTTAGACATGCCATATTAAGAATATGGAACAGATATAAACTTAAGTTGTGTCCCAAAACACCTTTGTGGCTGACACAACAGGAAACATTTTATAGAAGAGAAATGATTATTAAACATAAATTGTCTTACTTGATACATTAGAATATTGTCAAGGAAAATGTAGAATAAAAATAAGAGAAGAACTAGTGGTAGAAGGTTATTCATGCCAATGGTTTTGGTATGTACAATTATTAGGAAGATTAAAAGTCGATAAAAGAATTGTTGGTTTCGAACAATGTAAAGCTGAATTTGAAACGCAAGGGTATAAAATGATACTCATATTATTGTTAAAATGTATAAATTTTAATTGAATATGAAACAGAAGAACAGGTGAAATAATTATGGTAAAATGAGCTAAACACTTTGGTTATAACAGACACAGGTATCAGTGGGAAAATGTCTAGTTGAAAGGACAGAAATTTATACTATGTTATAGTTTTAAAATGAATTTTATAAAATGATTTATCATTGATACATAACACTGGAAAAGCAGGGTAGAATGTATACAATGTATACAGTCGCTTCAAACGTAGGCTGGAAATGTCACCAACAAAAAGGTACATTTTATCAAGCTTGGTGGATGTGTAACAAGTCTGAAAATTTTGTAACATACAATAGTACAAAAGATTTTAAAGACTTGTTTACAGTTGAAACCAGAGAGTTCACATTTGGAATTAGTGGATAAGCAGCCGGAAAAAAAAATATGGAGCTTTGTTTTTATATAGGATGTCTGCAACAAGACTATTATGTGCACAAAGATGGAAAGATTTGACTTCATCCACAGTGGAGAAATGGATAGTGAAGATGTTGGAACTTGCGGAGATGGCCAAATTGACTGCTTTAATTAGAGATATAACACTGTCTAAATTTAATGATGACTGAAAACCCCTTATTGGCTTTTTGCAGGAAACAGAAAAAATGGTGTTATAATATATGGATTAGAATAAAAGTAATAGACTGCAGAGAGAATGTACACAATGCTGCAAGCACAGAGTAAAAGGTTATTTTATATTTGTCACTGCTGTACAAGAAAATCAGAAGTCATTTCTTTATCATTTTGATTTCTGCACCTTTGCTTTGCGCTTTACTGCTTTACTTTTTCCTCTTTTTTCATTCTTAATAATTAGTTCTTGCTAGTTTTTATTCTGCATTAAAATTTTTTTAACAAAAAATTGTTTTAGAAATGGGAAATGTGAATATTATTCCATTGAGAGTCAAAGATGGTATTTCCCTGGAATCTTTGACCTATAAATAAAAGCCTTTGTCTTGAAGAGATGCCTCTTCTTCTCCATCTCACCCTGATGGCCTCCAAAGCCTGGGACAGAAACACTATCGCATTATTTGCCTGGCCCAAGCCGAGATGTAGAGCTGATATATATCAACCTACTGATGATTCTAGATCTGTGCAAATGTATAGCTACCTCCAGCGGTTTCGTTAGGTGTTACAAAGAAGTGAAGAGAGCCCAGAAGCACTTCACAATATAGAGGTCTCTGGGCAGATCTTTCTCCCCACCGCCAGCTGGAACTATCTGCCAGGAAGGAGAACTACTGCAAAGCAGTGCCACCCAGCTCCAATCCAGCAGAGGTGGTCGAGCAGGATACCCTTGCCAATCAAATGAAACTATTAGGAGGATTTTTAGCTACCTTACCTTGATCTTTGATCAGCTCCAAGGAAGCCATCCCTTGGTGCTGTTTAGGGCAGATAATGCCCCCTGCTGGTTGATTCAAAAACATTATCCAAATTATCAACACTCAAGATAACATTGATTTCGTTGCTTCTGGATCATACCAGGACTTGGCTTTGGTGGGTTTTCTTTAGCACTATTGCTCTCCACGACTGCCTCCTCCCGTTCTTCCTCTGCCGTCTCCTCCTCCTCCTCCTCCTCCTGCTGCTGCTTTTGAACCTTTTCTTCTTCTTGTGGGGCTTGGCCAGGATCCAGCTTGTCAATGAGTTTATTGAGGGTAGAAGCCAAAGACTTGGAGGCTTGTTTTCGGTCAAACTCACCTTTCAGGCTTTTTGTTCCCAGTTCGTCCTCAACCTGTTGGTAAGCAATAACGGATTACTAGATCAGAGTTCTTCAGAAGTATCAGAACTGAATCTGATGCAGGTAGTCCTCGACTTACGACCATAACGGAGCCCAAAATTTAGGTTGCTAAGCGAGACGGTTGCTAATTGAGTTTTGCCCCATTAGCAAAGACCTTTCTTGTCACAGTTAAGTGAATCACTGCACTTGTTAAATTAACACAGTTGGTAAGTGGATCTGGCTTCCCCATTAATTTTGCTTGTCAGAAGGTTGCAAAAGGTGATCACCCAGCCCCGGGACACTGCAACTGTCATAAATATGAATCAATTGCCCAGCATCCGAATTTTGATCATATGGCCTTGGGGTTGCCGTAACAGTTATTAAGTGTGAAAAATGATCATAAGTCAGAAATCACTTTTTTCAATGATGTTGTAACTTCACCAAATGAACTGTTGTAAGGACTACCTGTACTTGTTTGTTTCTTCAACAGGTTTTTGGCAATTCAACGCAAAACACGGATTCATGAAGCAATTTAAAGGACATTTTTAGAGACTGTGAAAATACACATCCCCTTTTAAAATACATCGCAAGAGTGTGGGAGAAGGAAAAAAAATGTGGAATGGGAATATACCGTTACCCAGCATCTATTTAGAGGTAAGGAGGGAAAGGTACAAGAAGTACAATGCTTGCTACCCTTCCTGCTGTAAACTCATCAAGACCCTTAATCTATTGAAGAGATAATAGATGCAATGAGGCTTTATGTGTGCAGTTCTCATCATAATATTTAAAATCCCCCCCAGTCAGGGTTGAAAACCATGTCATAAGCCAACCTCAACTGAGAAGGCTCTGAAGGCTCTGAACACACACACACACCGAATTAGAGGGAAACAAGCAAGCAAACAGAAAGATACAGAAAGAATGGGACCTACTCTTCTCCCTCAGGCAATGTATAGGACAGTGATGGCGAACCTTTTAGAGACCGAGTGTCCAAAAACCACCCTGCCCCCGCCTGCAGGGCCACCCACCACCTCCACGACCCACCGCAGATCGCCCAGACGGCCCAGCAGAGCCATGTGGCCACGCCCTCCACCAGCGCCCCGCAGCATTATCTGCATGTGACAAGGCTTGAGGGCGGAGTCTTGTCCCCACTGCCCGGCTGCCATGTCCTTGGCTGTGCTGCTCCACGCGGGCCGCACCCGGCAGCGACTCTCCTCTGGGGGGCTGCTGGTGAGGAGAGGGCCGTGGGAGGAGGCGGGTCTGGGGCAATGGCGCGTGTGCCCACAGAGAGGGCTCTGAGTGCCCCCTCTGGCACACGTGTCATAAGCTCGCCACCACTGGTATAGGATATGTAGGGCTCTGGGAAGCTTGCTACTATGTGAAGGGTGCATTTTACTGGACAATCTTGCATTCGTTCAATATTTTATAGAATTTTTTTTGCTTTTCCTCTGCAATCTTTTCCTTGAAGCCCTCTCTCCTGCCCAACCTAGGATTTCTTTTTATGTGGTATGGAAGGAAATGGGAATGCAAGGATTGGGAATACTTAGTAATGGTCCCATCACTCTTTTGGGAGGGAGAAATCAGAAGGTTGGACTGAAAAATGGAGCTAGTCCAAGAGATCCTGACCTCATCAATGATGTTGTCAAACTCCTTCTCCATTTCGGTTTTCACTTCTTCCTTCAGCTTGGCCATTTCAGACTTAGGTAGCAGAATGTCTTCCAATTCCTTCTCAAATTTCCCTAGTAGATCTTCTTCATCTTCTTCATTCTCCTGAGCTCCATCTTCAGGGTGTCCCGCTTCTGGGTCTGCCTTAATTTCGGGTGAGCTTTCTTGCATCGTGTCTTCAGATTCACCAGCCTTCTCTTTGCCCTAAAGGGACATGGGGGAATTCAGAAACTGCAATGGGAGAAGAAGCAGCATCTGGTCAACCCATTCAGTCTAACTGTCAGCTCAAGTTAAAATGCTTTTAGAGCCACCATCAGATAAAAGGTGGAAAAAGGACTTCCAGGCATTGTGGGTTGGTGGGCACATTCAGAAAGGATCTTGGGTATACAAATCAGCTGTTCTGAGGAAACAAGGCCAATTACAAAATATTTATTTATTCATTCATTTGTTTGTTTATTAAATTAATTGGCTGCCCATCTTACCACAGGGTAACATTTTACAAAATATTGTAAACTCCCCCTCTCTCTTTCTATGTGCATTGGTGTGAATGTGAATCTATGAATGGCCAGTATTCTACTGTCTGAGACTTATAGAAATTAAAATCCAAACCATCAGCAGGGCACCAAGATGAGGAAGATTGCTCAGTGTAGTACATGGGCAAAAGAGACTTTTATCATATAGTAAACTGAGTCTGTTTAGGAAATCCAACTAGAAAGCCTTACCTTCTGGGCATTCGCCTTCATCTCCTGAATAAACTGCACCAACTCCCCGGGGTTTCGAATAACTTTGAAATGTATCTTTTTCTTAAAATCTGGAAAAATACGGACAAAATGAATGTAATTTATTTGGAAATCAGATACCTGCAGGAAACAGGTATACAGCACCTAGCAATGTTCAGTTCTGCAACCTGCATCAACTGTATGCAAATTTGATTGTATCTATTTGTATAATTCTGTGTCTGCAGAGAGATGGAAGCCCCACCTTTTCATTAGGCTTCCTTCTCTGCACCAGACATAGTTTATATCTGCTAAACAGATGCCTTCACTGGCTTTGTTTGTGCAAGGAAATGTGGTGCAATTGTCACTCTACATCAGACATGTCAAACTCGCGACGTCACATGATGTCGTGCGATGTATCGGAGCTTTTTCTCCATTGCCGGCAATGGGGTGGGTGCGGTTTCCTGGTGACGCATCCGGCCCACGGGCCGACAGTTTGACACCCCTGCTCTACATGTTCTAGTTGACAGGTCCTCAACCCCCAGGCTGCAGACCATAACTGGGCTGTGAGCCATTTGGAACTGGGCCACAGAAGAGATTGGCGAGCGCACCCCCACTTGCATAAGCAGTGGGTGCACATGTGGGCCTGCCATTCCCATAAATGGAGCTGTGCACACACACTTGCTGGCCACTTGCACGGTACCATCCCCCCCCAGGTCTGCAAAGCCGAAAAGGTTAGGGAATTCTGCTCTAGTTACCTCATAGTTTCCTATCCCTATAATAAAACAAAGTTCAGTACTGACTTCCAGTTTTGCGCCATAGTGCATGGCCATGGGATAGCAAAGCTCTGCTCCCTGCGGCCAGTTTCGTCCTGACAGGGGAACCCTAAATAGGTCTGAAGTTGCCCCAAAGAGGTAACCGTGAAGGTGGGGCGCTGTGTTGATCACGAAACAACAGCAGTCGTTTTGTTCGATCGGGGGAAGCCCTCCGACTTGACAGGAGAAAGGCTAGCGTGTCAGCATCTAGCCCAAGGGTTCCCAACCGGGGTGCGAGACAATATTCCAGAGGGTGCGAAAACTTGGGTTTTTAAAATTATAGTGTATATGCATAATTCGTTGTAAGGGGTGCAAGAATATATCAGAAGCATTCTAGGAGTGCGGGATATAGAAAAGGTTGGGAGCCACTGGTCTAGCCCAAGCTACTTGCAGCCGAAGTCCAAGAGCACGAACAAGAACATTGGTGAACAGCATGCTTGGAACTGATGAGAATATCAATCTTCTCTCTTCTATCTACTAACTGAATCCTTGGGAAAGCCCCCCAAAGAAAGAAAACCTCCAAAAGTGAAGGGAGGGGATTATATCCCCATTCCCTCATAGATGGAAGCAGCGAATTAATTCTAAGGGGGAAAGAAATAGACTGAAATTAAATTTAAAATACTACAGTCTGGACAAATCTAGAAACTAAAAAAACTGCTAAGACTACACCTAAAACGGTTTTAATGAAATTATAAAAAATATATAATAATAATTTTTTGTCTGAAAAAAACTAGAAAATTAACAACTATTCACACCTTGTGAAGAATCAGAGCACAGAAGAACATCAATAATAATGACTCAGAAACTGGCAAGATATCCAGAAATGAAGAATAATCTGTTCCCTTAAATTTTAAATAACCTTGTAGACAGCTGGGAACAAAGAAGAGCTGGCCCAGCCATAAAAAAGTGTCTGAAAGAAAAATACCTGGACTTTTGACTAAATTTAAGAATTGTTTAGAGAAAAAGAAAAACTTTGGCTCTTGGCTAATCTTTTAGAGGAGAATCTATAGGAAGGACTTAAGGTGGCTTAACATACTGAATTGCAATTTTGATTGACTGATAATTAACCCTTGAATTAAAATATTGATGAAAGACTATTTGAAGGGGGGAGACAACATGGATATTGTACACTTATCAAAAAATTACAGGACACCACTCTCAATATTCACTCCTGAAAGATTTAGCCTGGAACATCAAAGACCCTCAGAAGCAATATTTCAAGGCAAGACAAATACTTTCCAAGAGGAAATGTACACAGATGACAGATACTTTCCAAGAGAAAATGTACACAAAATGACAGATACAAATGACAATAGATTTCAACCACGAGGAAATCCAGAACCAGTTTGACAACATAAATAAACCCATCTGCTGATGACTTAGTGCTGACACTAGCTCAACCGATAGACTCGGTAAGGGACTTGGTGGAAATTATAGCCCAGTATGGGAAAGTTTTTGGTTTCAAGGTAAATAATAATAAGACTAAAATATTACCGAAAAATATGTCTATGAAGGATAAAGATATCTTAGTTAAGTTGACAGGTTTTGAAATAGTGAGAAAGGTAAAATACTTGGGAGTTTATATTACAGCTTCTAATGTTAAATTGTATAAAAACAATTATGAGACATTATGGGTAAAAGTGCAAAATGACTTAAATGATTGGAAAAAATTACAGTTATCTCTGCTGGGGAGAATCTCAGCAGTGAAAATAAATATTCTTCCAAAGTTTCTTTTTTTGTTTCAAATGATACCTATTTTGAAAAAAGATGCTAATTTGGAAGAATGGCAGAAGGGGATTAATACGTTTATATGGGCAGGGAAGAAACCAAGAGTTAAGTTTAAGATTATACAAGATGCATGGGAAAGAGGAGGACTTAAGGCGCCGAATCTAAAATTGTATTATGACGCGGTGGTTTTAACATTGATTAGTGATTGGCTTAATTTAACAAACAAAAATATACTTTGCCTTGAGGGATGGGACCTATTATTTGGTTGGCATGCATACTTAATTTATAATAAGAAAGTAGATCAAGTTTTTAAAGCTCATATTCTAAGAAGTGCTTTATTACAAGTTTGGAAGAAATATTATTATAGATTAAATTATAAAATTCCCATTTGGGCGATTCCAGGACAAGCAATAGAGGGGTATCTAGAGGAGCTAACTTGGATATAATTTCTTATAAGGAATTACTTAGTTTGGTAGGACAGGATTGGCAAATTAAATCCTTAGCAGATTTGAAGCAAGAAAATATTGTATATTCTTGGTTTCACTATAATCAACTGTTAATGAGATGGAACTTAGATCAAAAAGTTGGTATTACCTTGCAGGATGTGAATCTGATAAAACAGATTAAAGATCAAACTCGAGCCCACATAAAGAGAATTTATAATGTTTTGATAGAATTGGACTCTGAAACGGAATTAGTTAAAGATTGCATGGTAAAATGGGCTCAAAATATTCAAGAATCGATTTCATTGGAAATATGGGAGACAATTTGGGTTAAAAATGTNCAACTTATTTTCATATTTGGTGGACGTGTAGGGATATAAAAGCATTTTGGATTAAGATTTGGTGGAATATTCAAAATATTTTTAAGAAAAAGATAAAGTTTACACCGCAGTTATTTTTGCTAGGTATTATGGAAGATTTGGATGCTAAAGAAATGAATTTGATGTTGAATCTTATAACAGCTGCAAGATTACTGGTAGCACAATATTGGAAGAAAAATTCTTTGCCTACTATGGAAGAATGGAGAATTAAGGTGTCTAATTTAGCAGAAATGCCAAAAATTTCCGCTTATTTGAAGGATCAGTCTCAAGGAAAATATATTTTGGTTTGGAAAAGATGGATTGATTATATTCAGAAAAAATACGAGATTGAAAAGTATTACTTAGCTTATGAGTAAATTTTAGATTATTATTAATAGTTTATTATGGATGAATTTATATTATTTTTAGTAATAATGTTTAATTATATTATTAGTAATTATATTTTTATTTTGCTGGTAAAGTGTTAAGATTTATCTATTTTGTAGAGTTAAAGTATGTTTGGATGGGATTTGATTGTAGTATATCTGGGTAATGTTATTTAATTTATCATTTTGTTTTTATAACCCTGTAACCAGCTCTGGGAAGTGAAGGGGGGAAGGGGGGGAGGGAAGTGGGATATGGTATGGAAAATTATTTAAAACTTTTAATAAAAAAAACAAAACATAAATAAACCCATCTCCAATCTAAATCTACAATCAAAAAACACTCAGAAAATGATGGCGAATGAACAAACAAATCAGATAACAGAATACAAATTGGGAGAACATGATCATATCGACGAAGCTACAAATGGAAAGAATTACAATCCAACACAAACAGCAAAAAATCTACAAGACTTTGATATAACAATAAAAATGGAATGGACTATAGAATTCCCAGGAGAATCATTAGAGTTTGGGAGACAGAAAGTATATATCCTACCTATTCTATCTTCTGTATTCCCAACAATACTTGCAAAAACATAGGAACTGCCAGGTAAGCGGAATATATCAAGTTGGAAAGTTTTTCGCAAAAGAAGAAGGCTAGAGACAGATTCAAGAGATTTGACTCGCCCTACCAGATGGAGTATTACAATTCAATAAATTCAATAAATTCAATAAATAATAATAATAATAATAATAATAATAATAATAATAATAATAATAATAATAATAATAGTAATGGATAAACCCTTGTTTGAATATGGTTAAAAGAATAGAGAACTTTGAACATAAAGGGGCCCTATAACAAGGGGGATAAGAGATTTAAGTAATATAGTATGTTTTACAATATATGAAATGTAAAAATATTGGGATGATGTAACTTTTATAAATATAAGTGAAATATAAGCTGATCAGAAAGGATGTTATACCCAAATGTTATAAGATAGATAACACAGTATTTTTATAATACATGAAATATGAAAAAAAAAATGGGATGGTGTACTTCAATGGAAAAATTTGGATATTTGGATGTCTAACATAGAGAAAATCATGACTGATAAGAATGGATTGAATAAAAGGGGAAATTAAGCTTAAACAAAAATCACGAAAATAGGATGCATGGTGAACTAATGAGATGATGGTTATAAGAATAAAATAAAAATGTTATACATAGATGTTATCACTATCTGTATAAACATGAAAAAATGTCTATATTTAATCATTTATATACTGAAAATATTAAGAATTATATTTGTTTAAGGTTGAAGAAGAAGAATACAAATGGGAGAAGGAAAGATCAAAGAAATATATTATGAATTAATATACTAATTATGGAATTATCAAATGTAATCATTATTGACTGTTAATTATTATTGCCTTTTTTTTCTTTCTCAAATACATAAACCAAGACAACACACTGTACACCAGGCACTGGAGATTGTTATTGTTAAAAACCAATAAAATATATTTTTTTTAAAAAAAAAACTTCAACACTATGCTTTTCAGACGTGAGTTCACATATTGCCTTTCTCTTTATTTTTTTTCCAGCCAACATGAGGAAGTGATTGGAAGCTTTCATTTCATTTTGAGTAACTTAGGTTTAATGACAAAAGCATTAACACCAAACAGAAATGCAGAAAGATAACTGTTATGGTTCCGACATATGAAATTCTTCAAAGAACTGCGAGGCATTGTTCTTGCTTTGCTCAGATGTTCTTGCTTTGACAATAACATTTATCCATAACATTAAACTAGCATTTTTAAACCATGTTTGCTCCATTAAACTGTAAGAGGTGGAGCTCACATATCATGGTAGATCAAAGAAAATATATAATGGACAAGTCCTTTTCAAGTCTAATCACAGCTTCCAACTGAGCATAGCAGCAAAATGCAGTCAATTAAAAAGTGAAGAACACATTTCCCTTCTGTTCCTTGAGTTGGGAAAATGGAACATGGGCACAAAACGTTATAGCTTTACAGTATACCCAAGCCAAGCCTAGCCTGTCCCAGTTTTACCACTGCAAGTTGTTTTATCAAAGATTAAGAGAACATTTTTACAGATGGCATATTGCTCTGCCAATAATTTCTAAGAGAGACAAATTGTATAACAATAAATACTGGAAATTGTATGACAAAAAGACCATTTTATCATATGTGGTGGCTATGTAAAAAAACAAAAAAAACAACCCCAAAATATTGGGAAGAAATAATCAAAATATTCACCAAATCCTAAAAATAAAATTTTAACTGAAATCACAAATATGCTTATTGGGCATAATCTCAGAAAACATAAATGAACAGTCACACTTTGCTAAGTTATATCTGACAACTGCAAGAACAAATTTGACATTACACTGGAAAAGAGAAACTTTACCATCAATATCAGATTGGAAGACAAAAATGAGAGAATACAGAGTCATGGCAAAAGTGACAGGACACATCTATCATATTGGGCTAACCCAATTTAAGCAAGAATAGTTCCATTGTGTACTAACACATTACACGGCAAGGTAAATTTAGACATTTGGAACCTGGCTTTTAGAAAGTAAATTATCAGCCCAGTAAAAAATAACAAACAAAAAAACTTACGGTAAATAGATATTAGAATACTCTTCTATGTTCAATTAAAAGTATAAATGTTGAAGCTGTGGTCAGCGGTTGCAGAAACAAATGGAAAGGAAGCAGAAAATGCAAGTTTTCCCATTATGCTTAATAGTTGCTTCTCTTTGATTTGTTTCATTGACTATCTAATGTAGATTTCTTTTTCCTTTATATTTTACTATTTTAACAATTAAAATACCTGGGGGGGGATATTAAAAGTCAGTGTTGCTGCTAAATGAGCAGTTAGCCCCCACAGAGGTAATTAAATACATAAATGTGCTATATGAGTATTGTCAATGCTGAAAGCTAAGTGGAAAGCGTTCATATTTGCCTGAAGGTCAGTCCTTGCTGAGAAACAGAGGGGGTACACTGAAGTCCCAAATATGCTCTTAGCTGATCTCACTCCCATGGCATCCGTTCATAGAACACTCTCTAGATCAGGGGTCTTCAAACTTGGCCCTTTTATGACTTGTGGACTTGAACTCCCAGAATTCCTCAGCCAGGCATGCCAGGCATGCCTAGCTGAGGAATTCTGGGAGTTGCAGTCCACAAGTCATAAAAGGGCCAAGTTTGAAGACCCCTGGTCTAGATCCATCCACAAACCACTTTACACTTACCTGCCAGGTGACTGTCTGCTGTCTTCATCCCTGGTTCTTCCTCCTATAAAAAGGAGAACAGAGAAATGGTTTTGTTTTAAGCACTGCACATTAAAAACACTGCCTCAGAAATGAACAAGTTAGGATTTCCGAGTGACACATCTTTGAGCTTTGCCATTCATTCTGCCTGATGGATTTCTGATCTGGGTAATTCTTTCATCCCGGCTGATGTACTCAATTCAACATACTGGTTTTTCCCCCCCATACACATTGAAGCTGTTCTGTGTGTCTACCACTATGTCTCATTCCTAACTGTGCTATTATTAGTCTAGGGACCTCTATGTCTATGGAGATTCTCAGTCATCCAGGTCATGGTTGTCCCAAAGGTACTTTTTTCAAGAGGCAACTGGACTTTGTTTTTCTTTGAAGACGTTTCGCTTCTCATCCAAGAAGTTTCTTCTGCTCTGACTGGATGGTGGGGGATGGAAGGATTTAAATTCCTTGCAGACAGCTGGTCATTTGCATTCTTTTAGAGAGTCGTTGAGGCCACTTGGAGGTTTATCTGTGTCCTCAGGAGTCACCTGAATAGTACAAATGGGTGTGGAGCCTTCTTGGAACTGCTGAAAGGACTGTGTTGTAGACTAGAGATAGGTGATGTCGCATCCTTCTCCCTTTGTTGAGAGAGGGCTGCTCAATTTTGACACAGATGGCCACTTTGACCCCTCCTTCAAACCAGTAGTCCTCTCTGTCTAAAATGTGCACTTTGCTGTCTTCGAAAGAGTGGCCTTTGTCTTTTAAATGCAAATGGACTGCTGAATCTTGTCCTGAAGAGTTTGTTTTCTTATGTTGTGCCATGTGTTTATGAAGTGGTTGTTTTGTTTCTCCAATGTACAGATCTGCGCAACTCACTGCATTGTACTGCATATATCACGTTGCTCAATTTGTGTCTGGGTGTTTTATCCTTAGGGTGGACAAGCTTCTGCCTTACTGTATTCTTGGGTTTGAAGTGTGCATGTTTGTTGTGTTGGCTGAAGATCCTCCTGAGCTTTTCAGATATTCCTGCAAATATGGAATGACAACATTGCTTTGTTTATTGTTCTCTTTTTGTCTGTTATGGTGGAGTTCCTGCTGGGTCTTTTGGGGAATTTGATGAAGGCCCACTTGGGATAGCCACATGTTCTGAGGGCTTCCTTGATGTGTTTTTAGTTCTTTTACTTTCCCATCTTTGCTGGTAGGCAGGCCTTCAGCTCGGTGATGTAGGGCTCTGATAACTCCCAATTTGTGTTCCAGTGGGTGGTGACAATCAAAATATAAATATTGATCTGTGGGGGGAGGGGTTCTGTAAACTTCAATGCTAAGGCTTCTATCTTCCTTAATGTGTACTGCACAGTCCAGGAAGGCTATTTTTCTTAACATCTTCCTGCATGAATTTGATGTATCTGTCCACAGAGTTGATATGTTTGGTGAACGCTTCCAATTCTGTGTTTGATCTTGGCCCAAGTATCGTCCATATACCTATACCAGTGAGTGGGTGGAATTCCTGTGAAGGAGTTTAGGGCTTTGGTTTCCAACTCTCCATGTAAAAATTGGCCACAATAGGGGACACAGGTGAACCCATGGCATAGCCATGTTTTGTCTGTAGAAACCTTCATTGTATTTAAAATAGGTAGTGGTCAGGCAGAGGTCGAGCATGGCACATATGTGGTCTGGGCTGAGGTTGGTTCTGTCACCTAAAGTGCTGTCTTGCAGCAGTTGTTTCTTCACTAATGGAAGTTGTTGGAATGCAGGTGAAGAGTGAAGTCGCATCATAGGAAAACATGGTCTCATCCAGGTCCAGTTTTAGTTTCCAAACTTTGCTGGCAAAGTCCTGTGAATTGTTGATGTGATGGGTGGCGTTGCCAAATAAGGTGTTTAGATATTTTGCAATGTTGTAGGTGACAGAGTTGATGCTGCTGACAATTAGTCTGAGTGGAGTTCCTTCTTTGTGGATTTTGGGGAGTCCATATATGCATTGCGTGGCTCTCCCAGGGTAAAGACAGTGGTTTTGTGGCTTGTCGATGGCATTGCCCTTCAGTAGTTGTTGAAAAACCACCATTGGGACTAGGAACCTCTACTTTTTCTGCACCTTTCTTTAGCTGAGGTTGCTGTTCCTCAATAGGATTATCATACAGAATGATATTTAACCATAGAAAACATCTAACTTTAAAATCTTCAAAGGCTGTGTTCTTTGCCTTCTCTTTTTTAAAATAAAAACCATCAATTAACACAAAAGATGTTTTTATACCACCTAGATTATGGAATTCCCTCCTCTGTTGAAATGTGACAAGGGAATAGGAGCCACTGTTGTGCAGTTGTTAGAATGCAGTATTG